TTTATAGATAGCCCTGGAATGCAGTATGTTGAACAGGTGGCCTCAAACTCAGAGGTCTTCCTACTTCTGCCCCTCCGCCTTCATAAGTGCTGGTGTGAAAGGTATTTCCCACCATTGCACAACTCCTCTAAATTCATAAATACTTACTACCCTTCTGTAAAGAGAGAGGGCCAAGGGCCTGGAAAGGTGGCTCAGAGGCTCTTCCAGAGGTCCTGAGTTCAGTTCCCAGCAATCACATGATGGCTCACAACCATCTATGCTGGGATCTGATGCCATCTTCTGGCGTGCAGGCAAAATACTGTATAAATAATAAATAAATAAATTTTTAGAAAGAAAAAAAGAGGGAGGGCCAACAAGTCTTTGTGTAGATAAGGGTAAGGAGAATAAAGAAAATCTAGTTGGTGGGATTTTAGAACTGAGTGTCTCGTTGCCTAACACACTTTTTTCTTTCTTCTTTCTAATGCAGATGACTAGTCCTCATTTTGGGCTCATTTCATCAAAAATTCCAGTTCCTCAGGTACCATCTGTGGTGACTCTTTGCAGGTTTCACAACACAGCCTCTGATGAGCTTTCATCGTTTCGCTGACTTCCGTGTTTGGCCTCATTAGTCTTCGTTCACAGGTTCTCAGCTGCCATTTGATTTCCTAACTTGTCCTGAAATGTTCCCAGAATACTGATCACTTTTTCTTTGAGACATTTGACAAAGTTACAAAGTCTCAGACTAGAATAACCTAGTATGATCATGGCATCATGACCAAACAGTCTAGAAACTTGTTAAAAACCAAAACAAAACAATTTTCTTGGAATGGAGAATATTCATCAGTAATATAGGTCCTCTCATTTCATTCATCTCAAATTACTTTGAATTTTTCCCCAAAGGCTGTTGGGTTTAGTGATAGTAGGGCCAAGGCCCATGAATCTGAAGTCAACAGCCTTCTGTCTGGAGAGTTATGAAGAGAAGATCAAAGGGGGCAAGTCTTGGAATTAGACACATGGCAGAAGTCTGTTTTTGTGTCCCCACAGACTGGAGTTTTTGGTGCTGAGTAAGAGCCAATTGCTGAAAAACTGGGGATTTGGTGAATAAATTTTAGACTGATTTGTATGTGTATACAATGTGTGATTTTAAAAATAAAAAACACCATCAATAAACACCCTGGCTGATTGCTTCTTACCCTGTAGTCTTCACAAATACTGTTTTGCACCCCACCTTGAAATATGTTACACTTCATATGAATGAAAGATTGCTGTGGTTCTGGAAATTTTCTTTTCATCTCTTTCTTTCCCCCGCTCCTCCCCTCTCTTTCTCCCTCCCTCCCTCCTCTCCCGTCTGCCTGCCTGCCTGCAGAATCATTAAGATCAAGACTTGATATTTGACTTGTTTAGTATGTTACATAGATGCAAAAGAATGTATAAACTATAGAGATAACATTGGCAAGACTTTGTACAGATGCAGCCCTTAACGTGAGCCATTGTGTGACTGGTTATGAAGATTCACACACAGCTCTTTACTGTAGCAGCTTGGGGATTTTGTACCTACAGAATGCCTTTTTTGGTGTATGTTTGTAAATTATTTTGCCTTCTCATGTTACAAAAGCTGAAATGTGGGGTTTTTTCTAAGTACATTTATCATTAGAATATCTGGATTTTTATGTACCTTTTTGTGTGCATCCGTAAATGGTAACATGTTTGCCTTCACAACTTTATAGAGTGCAACACACCTTCTAGTTGAAAATTCACAAGTTGATGAGTGACCTCTTGTCACACACCCTTTACAATCTTCTTTAAAGGAACACTACAGTATATTTTTTAGACTGTACGTGCTGACTGTCCCAATCTAAGCACAGCAGTGGTCTTGGTACAGTACTGAAGTGTCAGCATACACAGGCATAATCTGTGTATAGAGTAGTACCTAATTGACTATTTCAATTGTGTAACGAGTAAAAACACAATAAAATGGATTGTTTTTAATACCTGACTTTTGTCTTCATTAAGAGAAGAAAGTTCTGCAGGCAGCAATTTTTGTGGATTCTTTCTGCCTTCTTATGTTTAGATCTATGAATTTCTTTCCTTTGTCCCGAATGAATTAGCTAGCTGTGCTCTGTTGAGTGCAGTGGCCAGGCTCTTGAGGCCCCATGTGACTCATAATTACTACATTTAATGGTACAGAGGAGCTTTTCTTTCATCACAAAAGTTCTGTTAAAAAAAAAAAAAAAAAAAAAAAAAAAACAGGTGGTGGTGGCACATGCCTTAAATGCCAACACTTCAAGGAGGCAAAAGTAGGTGGATCTCTTAAGTTCAAGGCCAGCCTGGTCTACAGAGTAAGTTTCAGGGGAGCTAGGCCTATCCAGAGAAACTCTGGCTTGGGGAGGCTTGGGGCCGGGGGTGTCTGTAAGCACAAATCTGTGCGGTTGATTCTTTTAAGACTACCATTTGAGTATTAACTGTATTGCTTATTTCGGCCTTTTCTTTTTCTTTCTCTTTGTTTTGTCACGGAAATTGGAGAAAGGACTCCCAAGAGAGGAATGTCGCAGTTCAGTTTTTTTCTAACTAAACTACATAAAACTCTGCTTGATCAACATTTCCTAAGTGGGAATGTTTTATATCTACTTGGTAATCAGTATGTTCCGTAATTAAAACTCTCTGGATAGCATCCCTCTCTTTAAAATGACAGGGTGGCACACACCAGTAATCAAGAGCGTTCTGGACCCTGAGCCAGAAGACTAAGGGACTCTAAAATCTCAAAAAGCTTCTTATTGATTCCATCTATTAGTGACTGAGAGCCCCTGGTGAAAACAAGATCTAGATTCTACTTCAGACCTAAAAACAGAATCCCTTAATCGGGGTACCCAGCATCAAGTTTGTTGTAATTAGCTTGACATTTCCCCAAGATTATGCTTGAGTTTTGAAATTAAATGTTCTAACATTGCATGATTAATTTTCTACAAGTGGTCTCAAGTTTGAAAGCTCTTAGAACACGTGGTACATTAACAAGGATAAAGGAGCAAGAACCATGTCAACAAGGCTGGTCACAACAAGCTGGTCACAAGCAGTGAGAGAAACCGGAAAGAGTCCTAGAAAGCACTTGTTGATTGGACTTGTAAGGAGCGTAGGTTTCTGTGAGCTTTGACAGGTTGAGAAAGGAGAACACAGGAGTTTGTAAGATCTGATCTTTGGGTTCTGAATGGATCCTTTGAAAAAGTCTTTGCAGATCATTTAGGAAGACATTGTCTTCACAATGTTAATGTGACTAAGGGACAAGAGTGCAGTTCAGCAGTGGAGGGCTTGCTAGCACAGCCAGCCACCAGCACTGGGAGCTGGGCTGAGCGCTTCTAGAGATTTTTGTGATGCTTTTGAGTATTGCTCCATTGTTGAACATCAAAATAGTTTTGCATTTTTTTATGCTTCAGAATACACTGTAATACCTGTTACACACTTGAAAACTTCTCTTTCTTTTATTGAAGCATTCAAAGTGTAAGATATTTAAGTCAGGAACACCTGAGTGTGGTTGTTTGCCATCATGCCCAGGGAATGTGAACATTTTATGGGCCTTGAGGTGCACTTTCCCAAAATGGACATTAGTTTGCATGTCACAGTTTGTGCTAGAATGCTGGTTTTATTGCAGATTGATAGTCTGTTCACCTGTTAGTGCCCATTAACTGTGTACAGATTTGGTGTTTGCATTAGTATGCCAGTATTCTTACCCAGTTTATCAACCTCACTGCTATATTTTGTCCCAACTACCTTTCTTTCCTACATCTCTATGACCCTGTACAATGGAATTTTTCTCTTTTTCAATATGATATTGGCTACAGGTATACTACTGATGGCAGTAGTTTAACCAGAATATTTTTTTATCACTTACGCCCAAATGGAAATCACACAAGTAGTGTCTAATTTGTTTGGAGTGATGTATAATTTGGGTCAGAATTTTCACTCTAGCTGCTTATTAATCTTTTTTCCCTCCGATGTTTCTAGGGCCCACTGTTACCCTTACTGACAACATAATCTTAGAACTGATCTTGCCAAGGGTCTGGGGAGTAAAGCATGATTTATGTGTAAATTAGTTGGGAATTTTTCTTCAGTATTTTTTTCTAAACAGAATTCTGATATTTCACAAAGCCCACCAGCATGTTTCTTAGCAAAAAGTGTGGGGAAAATTAAATTTCTTTGAAACCCGTTACTAATTTGTATTTATAAAGAAAAACGTAGCAGCAAATGGACAGAGGTTCTAGCATCGGTGCCACAAAGCATTTCACCTGGACGTAATCAAAGTCTCTGATTTGTAGTATCAGCCAACAGAAGGGACATTTAAATAACATTCTCTATTTCTAAATATTGGGTGAGATCAGAAAAGTAGAAGATACTAATTAACAAGGCTAAATCCTGAAAGAGTTAATGAGCTTGTTATGTGTGCATAATAACACACTTAGGAAGGTTTTGTTATTTGATGTCTCCAACTAAAATTAAAGCCAAACTGAGCTTGTTACTTTAGACCTGGCGACTTGGGGAGATGAGAAGCCACAAGTCTCATGTTTTATGTTGGTGTTTTCTAAAATAGGCCTAGCTGGATTACACCATCGCTTTGCACGATTTTTACACTATACACGGAGTTTAATAGATCCTTTTTTTTTTTTTTTTAACTTTGCACCAACCCCACATACGCCTGTGGAAGTGGGTTTGATTCAGGTTGTCATAATGACTATAATTATGAAACTCGAAGTGACAGGCTAGTGCGAAAGCCAGGCAGGCCAGCTTAAAGGCTGTCTGCAGGCACTCTTAAGCTGTCTCAAGAGGCCTGTACAGAGACCCACTCAGACTGCGTCGCTTCCTCTCCTGTCTTCCGTACTGTGTTATCAGCGGCCAGTAGCAAGCAGCCCTGGCGGGTCCAGGCGCACGCCCACTAGGCTGAGGCCAGCTCTGCGCACCTCACAGTTGGGCAGCCGGCGGACGGGGAGGGTGCCGGCAGGCGGGGCAGGAGGGAGGGGCCGCGCCCGGTTTAGTGACTGCGCCTCCCGCCTGGCTCGCCTGGGATCCCGAGATGCCAGGAGGCTGCGGCGATGGCGATGGCGATGTTGCCTCCAGTACGGCAACATACAGGCCGCCCGGCGCAGATGGGGTCGCTGCTGCGACATGGAAGAGGAAGAGCGGCGCTGCAGCCAGCTGGCAGGTGAGAGGACGCGGGCCCAGGCCAGAGGGATTCCCACCTAGACTCGGAGGGGAACAGGCTGAGCTCGGCCTGGCAGGATGCACGCACCTGTGTTCCTGGGCAGCCCGCTGGAAGCTCCTAGGCTTAGATGGACCACAGCCCTGCCCACTTCAGGCTGAGTCCAAGCGTCCCTGGGTTGGCCTAAGCTGCCTTTCCTTCAATTCTAGGGAGCGCCCAACCATTGCCAGTCAGTGTTGGTGGGAAACCTGCATTCTCCCACTCCTTTAGTCCCAGGATGCACCACAGCCTCCTCATTCCTCCACCCGGGTCTCCCCACCCCAGCAGCCTCTGACAGCTTCGAGTGGTAGGTCGGGCAGTTCTTTTTGAATGGGAGGTTTGAAATACCTCCTGACCTTGGGCAAGTTACCTGGCCTTTCTGAGGTTTTCCATGGGACAGAACTTTGTTCTGTGTGAGGGCTGTGCTCAGAAAATGCCTGCCGTGATGAAACGGAATACTTCTTGGAGGCGAAATAAATTGGAATCATTCAGGGCATGAGTTAACTTGTAAGGCTTATAAATGTCCTAACGCTTGCTTCAAAACTTAATACAGCTGAGTATTGGGGGGACCCATCACTCCTTTTTCTTTCATTCATTCTTTCTTTTTTCTTCCTTTTTTCTTTCTTTTGCTTCCTTTTTCCCCTTCCTTTCCTTCCGCCCTTCCGTCCTTTCTTTCTTTCTTCCTTCCTTCCTTCCTTCCTATCCTCCTTTCTCCCTTTCTTCCAGGACAGGGACTTGGTATGTAGTCCAGGCTGGCTTCTAAGGAGGTGATCTTCTTGCTTCGACCTCGTGAAAACCTCGGAGCCACCACATCCAGCTTTTCACACATCCCTTTTTGTTTATTTGTTTTGCAACCGAGTCTCGCTATGTATCCTTGCCTGGCCTGGAAATTCAGGCTGGCCTTGAACTCAAATCTGCCCTCTGTCTCCTGAGCACGAGATTAAAGGCCTGTGCCACAGCTGAGTCTTACTAAGAGGTGACACTGTGCAGTATGTTCAGAGTTTCTGGTTCTTGCTTCTAGTTACTTCAGCATCCTTAACTGCAGTCAGATGCATGTGAGTTCATTGTGAGAAAAGTCTGTCTGTATGTGTAGTCCAGACCAGGAGCCTGTTGACACCTCTGCTTGGTTCAGCCTCTCAAGATGCGCTTCAGTGCACTGCTCATTCTGTCTTAACGTGGTTAATGCACACGCCAAGCAGACATAATAAAAACATTTTACAGCTGGTATTATAACTTAAGATCATTCTTATATGACTTTTATGTCTTTTAGGACCTGCCTATAACCTCAAAGATAAAAAGTAACATATATGCATGCATTGGAAATAACATTTAATGTTTAGGCATAGTTAACCACTACTGACTTTGCTCCAAAGCGCTGAATATGTACACAAACACAAATACAGATGTAACATTCTTTGTGGTTGTGTTTGTTTGAGACATGGTTTCTTTGTCACAGCCCTGGCTGTTCTGGAACTGTTTGTAGACTAGGTTAGCCTTGAATTCACAGAGATTCTGCCTCTTCCTCCCAAGTGCTGGGACTATAGGCATGGGCCATCGTGCCTGGTTTACATCTTTGTTTTGTTTGTAATTTCCTCTCAAAGTCCCAAGAGTTAATATTGAGCTCTTGGTTGACTTTCTGTCCAGTCCCTTTATTATTTTTAAAGTTTTGTGTTCCAGGAGCTTTTACCTAGGAACAGGATTTTAATACCTCCTAGGATTGTTTCCATAGTGAAATAAAGTTTGATATCTTATATAAAGCTTTGAGTATGAGAGCATACCGTGTAATAGCCACCCAACAAATGACAGCTGTTGTAATTAAGCTTTGACCTAAGGATCCTCTCCAGTGCAAGCATGTATATGTGTGAGCATGTGTATCCATGTGTGTTTGTGTGTGTGAGTTTGGAGGAACAACTGCTTAGTTCATGTGGAAGCTCTGTCACGTTGCTGAGTTGTCTTTCTGACTGGTTTCCTTATCTTCAAAATGGAGATACAGATACTATGTTGGGGCTTTGGCAGAGATTCAGTAGTGTGGAACCACAAGGACAGCGCCCAGCACATCATAAACTCTCTAGATACTGACAACAGTGCTGGCAGGTTGTATTGCTCTTATTTCCTAAGGTGGAGTTCTGTATATTTTTTAATTGAAATATCTATTGATTATGGAACTTTTTCCCAGAGTAATTCCAAATCATCTTCCTAAACCAAGGACTGAACCTAAGACCTCACGCATGCCAGGAAAGTGCATTACCGCTAGTTATGAACACTCAGCTTTTCTTTCACCTTTTCTTTTGCTTCAGGGTCACACAAAGTTGACCAGGGCATTGGATTTGCAGTCCCCCTGCCTCCGTCTTCTGAGTAGCAGGGTCACACCTGTGACCTGACTCCAGACTCGGTAGCCTCCTTCCTTCTCTGCCTCCTGTTCTTTCTTTGGTTAATGTTGGTTAATGTTTCTTTGACTAACGTTGGTGCCTCATCATCTCATCTTCTACGTCTATAGCTTAGGGTCTTATAACTCCCATCATTTCATTTCCTTATCCCCTACTTTATTTCTCTAAGCACCTTGATTCCAGACTCTTAAATTTTTCCTGAACCAAATTCCTGCTCTCCTTTGCCTCCTCATAAGGGGTTTTTCTTCTTCCCTTTGCATAAATTAACTCAAGGAACAATTTTTTTTTTTTTTTTTTTTTTTTTACCAACAGTAAAACACTGTCTTTATCCACTGTAACAATATCAAAAGGGTTCACAAACAGGCATGCAGTCTTACTAAAAATAGTAAGAGCTCTCCATTAGTATTTAGTCATTGGCAAACAGATGTTCAAAATTTATCCTTTTCTCTCCTATAGAACTTAGTTTAAAGAAAATTTGTGTCACAGAAAGGTTGGTGTCACGTTGCGGTGAAGAAATTTACCACCGTGTGCATTCTGCAGCAGAGGCAGCTTCTATCTCAGTGAGGGGCAGAGTATTCACGCGGCTCTCCCAGAACTGATCTGATTCTTACTGCCAAGCCTGTACTTGCGGTTAAGAGCTGAGAGACTTCTATTCTAGGCAGTCCATAGCTGTTGCTCTCATTGACTGCGTCCGGTCTGTACCCCCTGATGCAGCAGCTAAAAGCTTGGCACCTATAAGTCTCTGGGATCCAGCTCCAGCTGATGGTTTAAATATTCAGAGCATAGGCTCTGGACTTCCTCACTACTATTTTTTTTTTTTTAAATCTCTGTAATGTTAGAGTAAAACAAGTGTTTGGCAGTTGTCAAGAGCAGAGCTCTAAATGTTTCTTGTGGTGTGGGATTCTTCTTTGGCAAAGGATAGGCCACAGGCCACACACATCTTTGGGCTTAGGAACAGTGAAGACTGGCGTGAGTATGTACTACTTTTTTTTTTTTTTTTGGCATAAGAGCTAAAAGTTTAAGGTAGCAAGTGCTTCTTATTCATCTATGTGCATTCAGCAGCTAACGCAGTACTGGCCCAAGACACGCATGTAGTTAGTGTAAGTTAAGTGAGGGAATGCAGAACGCATTATCTCTTATTTGATGGTGAGATGGTGAGGATATTCCCGTTCTTAAACACAGTGGTGTGTTTAAGTTTTACTTTATTTTTAAAGTAGGTGTATGTGTATGGGGGGGGCTCGTGTATGAGCGCAAGTGTCCATGGAGTCCAGGAAGGGGCGTCAGATCCCCTGGAGCTGGAGTTACAGGTGGGTCACCCAGCCTGGGTGCAAGCAGTGGAGCCTGGGTCCCCTGCCAGAGCAGTGCTTGCTTGTAACCACTAAGCCATGTCTCCAGCCCTTATAGTGTTGTGGGGTGTGTGTGTGTGTGTGTGTGTGTGCGTGCGCGCGTGCGTGCGCGCACACGCGCGCACGCGCATACGTTTGCTTGCTGGTGACCAAACACAAAACTGTGCTAGACAGGTACAGTACCATTGTGCTACATCTTCAGCCCCCAGAGGGCTGCTCAGAAAGTACGAATATCCTCACGGACACCCTTTGTTAGTTTATTATTTTTCTTCTTCTTCCTTCAAATGTAGTCCTACATGAATTTTTCTTTTCTGAAGGAGGATTTTCAGTTGATGAAGAACTTAACTCCCAAACTAGGAAAATACATAAATGCTGGGAAACAAAGATTTTCCGTAGAGAAAAGTGGGATTTGTCAGTGATTTCTGAGCACCTCCTGGAGGGCCACATTATGTAGCGACAATACTCTCCTGTTTGAATTTCAAGCACATCCTGTTGCTTGCCTGCCTCCTGCTGCAGAGGCCTCTTTTTTTGCAAGCTGTTCATTCTCCCTGCCCCTCACCTCTCACCCAGCTGGCTTCTCCTCACCAAAGCTCCCTTCATTATTTCTCAGCCTCTGTCGGAGACACACTCAGTTCTCCTTGTCCCTGGCTGTAATCCTGGCAACCACACAGATGTAGCTCCTCCCAGGAAGAGATTGTGGACTCCCAATGGCGAGGTCCCATTCCTGTGTGTCTCCAGTGCCTGGTTTTCATGCCTTTTCTATGTTAGACTTTGTTACATGCTTTTTAAAACAATAGAGATGAAAAATTGGAATGCTTTTGTAAAAACAATGCAATTACTAGATCACTAACCCCTCTCTGTCTCTGGGTGTACATTTTTTTGTGCAGGCTTATCTTTGGCCCTCTTTCAGCATGTCTGTGAGCTGAGGCCCTGACTCTTCTGCTGATTTTTTATTTTATTTTATTTTATTTTGAGAATAAGAGGAAAAAACACCTCTCTGAAGATGAACTCCAGTGGCCCACTTCAGAATGCTCCCAACACCACCTTCCTATACATGCCTCCCTTGCAGAGCGGAAACGCCACTTCTCTCCAGGAGGATCTTCGAGATTTTATCCACACAGCAACCTTGGTGACCTGCACTTTTCTGCTTGCCGTCATCTTCTGTCTAGGCTCCTACGGAAACTTTATTGTCTTCCTGTCTTTCTTTGACCCGGCCTTCCGGAAGTTCAGAACCAACTTTGATTTCATGATCCTGAACCTGTCTTTCTGTGATCTCTTCATCTGTGGGGTGACAGCTCCCATGTTCACCTTTGTGCTGTTCTTCAGCTCAGCCAGCGGCATCCCAGATCCTTTCTGCTTCGCCTTCCACCTTACCAGCTCAGGCTTCATCATCATGTCCCTCAAGATGGTGGCTGTGATTGCTCTGCACCGGCTCCGGATGGTGCTAGGGAAGCAGCCTAATTGTACAGCCTCCTTTTCCTGCATCTTTCTCCTTACCCTGCTTCTCTGGACCACCAGTTTTACCCTTGCCACCTTGGCCACACTGAGAACCAGTAAGTCTCACCTGTGTCTCCCCATGTCCAGTCTTATGGATGGGGAAGGGAAAGCCATTCTGTGTCTGTATGTTGTTGACTTTACCTTCTGTGTTGCTGTGGTGTCTGTCTCTTACACCATGATTGCTCAGACCCTTTGGAAGAATGCTCAAGTCAAAAAGTGCCCCCCTGTGATCACAGTTGATGCTTCCAGACCACAGCCATTCATCGGGGCCTCTGTGAAGGGAGGTGGAGATCCCATCCAGTGCACCATGCCAGCTCTGTACAGAAACCAGACTTATAACAAACTGCAGCACAGTCAAACTCCTAGATACACTAAGAATCCCAGCCAGATGCCAATCCCCTCAGCCAGTCGACTCCAGCTGGTGTCAGCCGTCAACCTTTCTACTGCCAAGGATTCCAAGGCGGTGGTCACCTGTGTGATCATTGTGCTGTCAGTCCTGGTGTGCTGTCTTCCTCTGGGGATTTCCCTAATGCAGGTGGTCCTGTCTGACACTGGGAGCTTCATCCTTTATCAGTTTGAATTGTTTGGATTTACTCTGATCTTTTTCAAGTCAGGATTAAATCCTTTTATCTATTCTCGGAACAGTGCTGGGCTGAGGAGGAAGGTGCTCTGCTGCCTCCAGTATGTTGGCCTGGGCTTTCCGTGCTGCAGACAGAAAACGCGACTTCGAGCCATGGGAAAAGGGAGCCTTGAAATCAATAGAAACAAATCTTCCCATCATGAAACAAACTCTGCCTACATGCTGTCTCCAAAACCACAGAAAAAATTTGTGGACCAGGCTTGTGGCCCAAGCCATTCAAAGGAAAGTGTAGCAAGTCCCAAAATCTCTGCTGGACATCAACACTGCGGTCAGAGCAGTTCCACACCCATCAACACTCGGATTGAACCTTACTATAGCATCTATAACAGCAGCCCCTCCCAGGAAGAGGCCAGCCCAGGAAGGCTACAGCCAGCAAACTCTTTTGGATTTGCCAGTTCGTACATTGCCATGCACTATTACACCACTAATGATCTCATGCAGGAGTATGACAGCACATCAGCAAAGCAGATCCCCGTCCCCTCTGTTTAAAGGGACAAGGCCAGGGAGCCTGGAAGGAGCGATTCGCTTTCCTCTGAAAGACTCTGAAGTCAGTGGGAAAGCGTGAGGAGTCGACTGAACAGTTGACCGTTAGACTTTCTTTTGTCTGAAATATTAGTATCCAGATTTGCTTCATGGTTTCTTGACATTTGAAGATTTGATGTAAACGCTTATCAATTTTTGCTCTGATGGGTGTCTCAATCTTTGTACTAACCTGCTAAGAAGATGCCAGGAATGACCCTGCTGATGAAAGCCCTTCAAGTCAGTGTTATGGATTTTTAGATATGGGTCTTTGGCTATATTTTTTAAAAAGGTGTTTGAAAAAAAAAAAGACCTTTCCGAAGTGTTATTTTTATAAAAATATGAAATTTGAGTGTTTGAAGTACTGAAATAGAAAAGAGCGTACTTTTATGGTGGTAAGTTGATTTAAATAAAAAAAACTTACTGTTAAAGCAGAAAATAGAAATGTGTTACCTGTACCTCGTCCTTATTTACAATTTTCATACAGTGTTAGTTACTCCCCTTTATAAGACAGTTACCTAATAATACGGAGTTATGATTCTTGTCACTTCATACTGTACATTTTTGTTTCGCGTTGAGTAGATAGCTTTAGGAAGCGTTTTTGGCAGTTACCAGTTAATGGCTGTTTCCCAAGAATCCTACAGGAGAGGAGGACTGTACCCCAGTAGCGGCGTTGTTCTGAGCGAGCAGGCGTGGTGTCAGCCTCAGGAATCCGCAGAGGCCAGTGCACATTTTGATCGGGCATCCAACACCAGCTCTCCTAGCCCTCAGTGCATACTCTAGCTAGCATCATGCATCCAACACTAGCTACGTAGAGATGCAATTGGGAGGTGCGATGTGGGCTTCCCTTCTGTATGAGGACAGTGTTCACAGAGAAATTCAGAAATACCCTTTTTATATAAATATTGCTATGTAAAAAAGTTCTCGATATGATCTATTGGTATTTTCAGATTGAGGTTTTTACGTTTTGGCGCTTTTTTTCTCCTTCCTTTCTAGGGGCCTGGAGGTTGAACCTAGGCTCATGCATGTTAGACAACCAGTTCACCACTGAACTGCATCCCCAGTCCCCAAACTAATGGTTCTTATCCTCTCATTAACCTTAAACAGGAAACGTGCAACTGTATTATTCTTATATCTGAACCTAATTTTATTAGGTATGCTGATTCCTAATGTTAAAATATTTTGGTCATGGAGTTAGGATTTGAACTCACTGAAATTTTGGAACACCATTAGACTCAAAATAGATTATCTTTACAAACTGTTGTATCCTACTATTATCCACAGAGCTCAGAAGGAGCAAGGAACAGAAGGCACTCAGCTCAGAGGAGCCTCTCCCAGGCTTTTCCAAATCTTAAATCACAGGAGATGCTGAGAGATAGAGTAGCTCCTTAGCCAGACCTGGCCTGCCTGGCCTCATGTAGCCACTATACATTCCAGTGCAGTCTAGTGAGGGCTGTTTCAGATATTTAAGTGTGAGGACAAGATTTTCAAATTCACTGTCTAGAACTGGCCTGTCAGCTTCTCTCCTTCTCTTCTCCCTTTTTTCTTTCCTTTTCTTTTATTCTTGCTACTAAGTTTTATAGCATATCCACTCTCCTTTATTTTGATAGCTGGACACTCTTTTTGGAAGTCACTCTTACCTATTTCAACTGTGTTTTTATAGATTCAACATAATATGGTTCTCATTAATACTCCCATGAGACAGATTCAGTACAGAGCTCTTTTTAACAAAGAACTAAGACATCTGATCTCCTCTCCCAAAATCATTTGAAGAATTTTGGCAAATTACCATTAAACTTTTGTCTTAATTGAAAACCTGTTATTTAGTCCAGTCAACAACAACATCATTCACACATTTAAAGGTCTGTGTCTCAGGCTGGGAGATAGCTAGGAGGTTAAGAGTGACATGATACACAGACACATTGCAGGCAAAGCACCCATACACATAAAGTAAAATTGAATCTTTAGAATATTTGAAAGTTTACTTTCACAAAAAGGTATACATCTCTTTGAGGGATCAGGCATTTAAAATGTGGCTTGACAAAGATTATAGCAAAATTACTACTTGTAAATTTTTAAATGTTAGCTTTCCTTGTATGACCTTTGAGTTTGAAATTATTTGACTAGCATGGGGCCCATGAGAAATAAAAATTATAGCATAAGAAGACAAAGCGTGTACATAGAAAGTGTTCAGTTTCTTCATGTTCATCAAAGAAATTATTGAGTTAATTTGCATGAAATATATGGTGGGCTGGATTCTTGGCTCTCCTCCTATCTATGGAGAGATGTAACTTGTTTCCTCATAAGCTATGTATGTCTGTCTATAGTAGCAAAGTCGCCATATTGATGTAGACAGACATATATAACTTATATCTTCATAAGGGCTAAAAATTATAACTCAAAATAATGAGAATTCAGTTGAATATGATTATTTGCAGGTACATTAGTTTTTTTCTCTTGATGCTTACTGTGTGCAAAGTATGTGTCTCAAACATTTTGTAATAAGTGTTCTTATGTTAACCATTAGGTCAGATTTCTATTTCTGATGTTTTAATGTACTTTTAAAATGAGTTTGAAAAATAAAAATACTAAAAATCCTAACTTGGGGGTTTTGTAGATTTTTTTTGTAGTTGTTTTGGTTTTTTTGTTTGTTTGTTTTTGAGTCAGGATTTTTTTTTATGGGCTAACCTCGAATGCACTCTGCTCCTTCTTCCTCATCGGAGATAACAAGTGTATGCTAGCACACTGCTGAAAAATCAAGTTTCAATATAGTGTCTTGTCTAGTCTTTCATTGTGTAGCACAGGCTAGCCTCAAACCTATAAATCCTGTCTCAACCTCCCAATTGCTGGGATTGCTGGAATGCTTGTGGTGGTTTGAATGAAAATGACCTCCATAGGGAGTGGCACTATTAGGAGTGTGGCCTTGTTGGTGTGGGTGTAGCCTTGTTGGAGGAGGTGTGCCACTAGGATTGGGCTTTGAGGTTTCAGAAGCTCAAGCCAGGCCCACTGTCTCTTGTTGCCTGAGGATATGAATACAGAACTCTCAGCTACCTCTTCAGCACCATGTCTGTGTGCTACCGTGCTTCCTGCCATGATGACAATGGAGGAAACCTTCAAACTTGTAAAACAACCTCAATTTAATGTCTTTCTTTATAAGAGTTGCCATGATCCTCTCCTTGCCTCTCTCTCTCTTCTCCTCCCCTCCTCTTCCCTCCTGTCCCCTTCTAGAAGAGCCCAGATATCAGGAGGTGGGGAGGATCTTGCTTTCAGCTTTTTTGCCTTTGTGTATCACTAGCAAGTTCATTTACCCTGTTTGTGAGTTCATTGCTGCCAATGCCACTGCTACTGCCATCCTCTGCAAATGTTGGAACACAACTTTCTAAAGATCAGTGGTTCTCCAGAATTCTTCAGGCCTTCAGGCTAGACTGGGATTGTGAAACATCTGCCCTCATGAACTGAGTAGCTACTGTCTCCTCAACCTCTCTTAATATAAAAGGCAGTTCTTGTTGACTATTTAGCCTGTGTCATATGACTAATCTAGTAAATCCCCTTTATATAATATTGAGAAAACCAGGCCTCACCCTCACCCCACCCCAAAAGTCAACAGTCCTGGGAACAATTCCAGGAAGAAGACAGTGGAGTCCCCTACTCAAGGAATAGCCTGGAGAAAACCCAGGAATATTTAACCATCACCGCTAGCAACAGCGAATCAGTGAATACCTGGAATTTACCCAGGTGTTCCTCACAATAGGATGAGTAAAACAATTCTGGTTTGGCTTGGCCCTCTGGGCAAACAATCTCCCAATTTTTGTTAAATGTCAACCAATCATAGAAGTGCCAAGCTAGAATTCCCTGAACTTTGATGTAACCCTAACCAAAAATCCCTCTCTCCCTGGGCTGGGGGCTCTACACTCTTCAGCACTGTGTCAGTGACAATGTGGGCCCAAGCTCAAGCTTGTAATAAAAGACCACTCTGCATTTGCATCCGAATCAGCTCCTTGGTGATCTCTGGGATCCTCAAGACTTGGGCATAACAATATATATTCTGTTTTCTACAGAATACTCAGTAACATGGTTGTTAATTGTGCTTGAACTCTTTTGTCTCTGCTGACAAAACAACTCAGTCAGATTCCTTGATGAAGGACTCCTTTCCTTGTCATGACCCTAAGAGGACCCTGTCTTTCTATACTGGATTAGGCTATCTGAATTACAAAACAGATTGGCTGGTAAAGGCATTTGCTGCCAAACCTGACAACCAGAGTTCATGCTGGTTTTCCTTTCACATCCACAGGTGTCAAATAAATAAATAAAATAACAAATGTAATAGTAACAAAAAGAAAAAAATGACCACAAGTTGCCTTTGTGTTGCCCTTCTCCCAGCCTGACATCTAGCACTATTCTGTTTACTCAGTTAAAAAAAGATAAGATCCGGGAACATCTTTCCTTTGGGACTACCCAGAAACTTCTGTACCATCTTCATTTTTTGTCATTGTAATTCTTTGATTTATGCTGCCTGAAGTCATTGAAGATGAAATAAAATCTGTCAGTAATCACAAAGAAGTTAAAGGAGAAAAAGGAGGAAGGAGGCTGGAGAGATAGCTCAGTGGCTAAGAGCACTGTTTACTCTATCAGAGGACTTGGGTTCAGTTCTCAGCACCCACGTGGTAGCTCATAAAACCATCCATAACTCTAGTTTCAGAGGACTTGATTCCTTCCTCTGACTTTCACAGGCACGAGGCACACATGTGATATGTGTACATAAAGGTAGGCAAAAACCTCAACTACATAAAATAAAATAATAGAATAAATATTAAAAAAATAATTAGAAAAAGAAGACAAGGGAGAACCGCTTTTAGAAAGAGAGTAAATAAAGAAATACCAGTTTCTATAAATTCTATGGCAATTGAGTGAAGTAAAAATTTAGGGGAGTTTTACCATACATGATAACTAACACACAGTCAATGTACTTGTTTCCAGTGCATTTGATATATTTTTTTTTGAGGCAGGATCTCTATTACATAGCTTTGGCAGTCCTTGAACTCACTATGTAGACCTAGCTGGCCCCAAACTCACGAGAGATCCACCTGCTTCTGCTGTCTGAATGCTGGGCTCAAATGTGTATACCACCATGCCTGGGCCTGAAAATAATTTTTATCAAAGCAGAAATATTGCTTCTTTACTTATGGACAAATTAGTCAATATTTCCTCCCAGTGAGCAGATCTGTTTCTTTATAGATATATTCCTCTGTGGAAACAGTAGTTTCTCAGAATTCCATTCACATGAAGGCTTGCCTTTGCCCTGGAGGTTTCCTAGTTCTTCATAGCCTGTAGCATGCTGATGAGTGGCAGACTCTTTCAACGTATTCTCAAACAAGGACTCTTTGATTTTCATGAAGAGCCTGCTGTGCTGCAGAGTATAGCTTGTTCAGAGGCCACCAGGGTCTCACAAAGCCCAGCAATTCAAGAGAGTGCTTTATGTCTGTCTTCGAAGCCTGAGGTACAAAGACAAGTTCACACCACAGGTGTCTCTCATGTTAGCAAGGACTGGTGAGAACTTAATTCAGTTTCTTTTAGCTTTTATTTTATTAATAGTTTGTACGTGGTGGGTGTGTACATGTGTTTATATATATGTGTACACATGTGCGTGTGTCCATATGCCACAGTCTGTGTGTGGAAGTCAGAGGACATTGCTATGGACTTGGTTCTCATCTTCCACCTTTATGTGGGTTCTGGGAATGAACATGAGTCATTAGTTGTATGGCAAGCTCTTTTGCCTGATAAGCTATCTTGGTCTTTTCTTTGGCTTTAAGATGAATACATACCATAGAAACTGCAAAACCTAATTTAATTAACATGCTTGAGGAAAGACAAGGTTGTGGTCTTCACAGAGGAGCCAGAAAGAAAGACACTCAGACAATTGGAGTGTTTTCAATTCTTGGTGTGAGAGAAATAAAACAGAGGAAGGAGACATACTGTGCTATGTACACTTGTTAGGGAGAAGTAGCATTAATGCAAAATCAATGTGGATAACTAGTCAAAATGAAATTTAATAGAGTCAAAACAAATTGATTTAAAAATTCTTCTGGGGCTGGAGAGATGGCTCAGCAGTTAAAAGTACTGGTTGCTCTTCCAGAGGTCCCAAGTTCAGTCCCCAGCATCCACATGATGGCTTATAACCATCTATTGAGAGACCAAAGAATTAAAAATTAGGTCTTCTTTGGTGGGGAGTTATTGATTAAAGTTTAATACACGAGCCTGAACTAAAGCCAGACACAGCAAGACATGTCTGGCCACCTGCAGGGGGGAACCAGCCTTACTGCATTCTTTCCTGCCCACTAGAGATACAGTTGCTAGGAAACTGGCCCAGATCTCCCCTCTCCCCTAGCAACAGCCAAAAAAAGGAAACCAGACCTGTTAATGGTTTTGGTGCCTTCCCACAGCCAGTTGGTTTAAAATGCAACATCCCTTCTGTGTTTCAACCAATAGACACTTGCCAGGCTGGAATTCCCCCACTTTGGGCATGCTGGGAGGGACTGGGACCTATAAAATCATGCCCAATCCTGAGTTCTGGGATCTCAGTCAGATACTAGTGCCTTGGTGTCTGTGAAAGTCCCAGCTCAAGCTGCAAATAAAGATCCTCATGTGTTTCACAACAGACTTGACTCCTAGCAGTCTTTGGAGGTCTCTGAATTGGGCACAAAACTATCACTGTAGTCCCAAGGATCCAAGGGCCCTAGTGTATGTGTAGATGTAAGTGCAGACAAAACATCCATATACGCAAATTACATAAACAAATCTTTAAAAAAAAATTTAGTCTCTTTACCCAACCACTGTCAAACTGAGGATTGCCCCTTCCAGTTTTGTGTGTGTGAACAAGTGCATTCGTGTTTGACAAGGTCTCACCATATAGCCCAGATCTGTGTCAAACTCATGTTCTTCCTGCCTCAGGTTTGTTAAGTGCTGGTTACAGGCATGTGCTGCCATTTTCAGCTTGGAAAATAGAATTTTCCCCAGAGCACCAAATACTGTTTTAAAAAAAAAAAAGAGTGGTAGAAAAATTAGAGGAGAAAGAGAAAGTTTTTATAAGGCATAAGAGGATAAGGGTTGGTTTAGTCTACAAAGATGTATTGAGTGTCATTGCTATTCAGGGTATGATGAAAAACAAAAGTAAAATATATTCTCTATTCCTCAAAAGAAAACAAGAGAAAAGATGAAAATTATTTGTAAATTCAAACATCAATCTGAATATTTACAAATGGTCGCAAGTATTGGGATTGTCAAAGTACAGAAGGTTTGATGTCATTAAGCAAGTTAGAAATTCCACTACAATCTTTTTTTTATTAAATTGAAATTTAAAAATGGCTGTATCACATATCAGTACATAAACACAATGTGCTTAAGCTTTTTTTTTAAATATATACATTTAGATTGTTCCTTCCTTATTTTCTGTAAAGCTGTTATGAACATCTTAGAACCAAACATTGGTAGTCTCAAAAATTTCCTAAGAATTCCTAGATAATTCCTAGGTGAGCACTGTCTTGCTGTGAACAATGAGGCCAGTGTGT